AACACCGGTTCCCGTACGATCAATGAAGTTAAGCAACGTCGAGCCTGGTCAGTACCAAGATGGGCGACCGCTTAGGTATACCAGTTGCTGTTAGCTTGGATGTGTGTATGGCGTAAATGGATAAAGGCTCGGAATTGTCAATTGGAGAGTAGTGTTACTATTCCAACCGGGTTCGTTATACTGAATCATGCGCAAATACCCTTGGGAAATATATGAATACACATCTTCTCCCCCAGCTATGGGTTAACTCGTAAGACTTTATCACTAAAAACCATTATTATCTCCAAAAATTGTATACAAAATATTCAGATTTCGGCATTAAGTAACTGATGCCGCTAAACAAAAATAAGAAACGTTTCGACCAATTACCCTCTGGTCTTCATCAGGTGTCCATTTATTAGCTGATAGGGGATATTTGTTGATTATTGTGATATGCTTACCCGGTGATATCAATTATTCTTCGTTCCTGCTGAATTGTTGCGTTACTATCAAATCCAAGGAGTGAACACATGACAACTTGATGACAGTAACACATATATAACCACCATCTATATCCACTACGCCACCGTCCCGAAGGACATTAACTGTGTATTTTTGGAGCCTTTTTAAATTCAATGTCAGAGACATTTTTCTGCAGTCAGAGATGTTGGCGAGTTCGTGCCGCTTTTTATAATTTAATATTTCATTATTTCGGACTATTGTTATTGATAATTGGTCGAAACGTTGTGTCTAAAATGACGTCAATATCAGCCAAGACGAGAACAATAGTTCGAAATAATACAAGAATATTGAACATTACTCATCTCATAAATGAAATGAATGTTTGTTTATAGTTTAAAAAAAAAAATCAATTCCAAGCAAGGCGAAAAAGCAACTAAGATGCAAGCGGTTACGGAGAGTGAAGGAAAGAGACAGGACAATAAAAGAACATGGGTCAAGGAGACAGAAGATGACAATTAATATTGAATTTGCATTTTTTAAGATCAGAGTTGACAAGAAAGCAGGAATCCGGAAGAGAGATCTATCTATCTATCTATCTATCTATCTATCTATCTATCTATCTATCTATCTATCTATCTATCTCGTTCTCTTTTCGGATCTATCTATCTATCTATCTATCTATCTATCTATCTATCTATCTATCTGTCTTTTAGGATGTATGTATGCATGTATCTATCTATCTATCTATCTAGTTCTCTTTTCGGATCTATCTATCTATCTATCTATCTAGTTCTCTTTTTGGATCTATCTATCTATCTATCTATCTATCTATCTATCTATCTAGTTCTCTTTTGGGGATCTATCTATCTATCTATCTTTTCGGATTTATGTATGCATCTATCTATCTATCTATCTATCTATCTATCTATCTATCTAGTTCTATCTATCTATCTATCTATCTAGTTCTCTTTTGGATCTATCTATCTATCTATCTATCTATCTATCTTTTCGGATGTATGTATGCATGTATGTATGTATGTATGTATCTATCTATCTATCTAGTTCTCTTTTCGGATCTATCTATCTATCTATCTATCTATCTATCTATCTATCTATCTAGTTCTCTTTTTGTATCTATCTATCTATCTATCTAGTTCTCTTTTGGGATCTATCTATCTAGCTAGCTAGCTAGCTAGCTAGCTACATAATTTTTCAGTAGTAGCTGTATTTGCCCGGGAACGAACCGGAAAAAGTCATTTATCTTCCGATTGGATGTACAGAATCAACACAACCCGGAAATGTCTCTTAGATGAGATATTAAGTGCTCAAGCAAACATATCGTGTAATTAGACATGGCATTAAATAGATACTTTCGGGTGGCTGTTTGCTTTGACGCAAGTTTTATATTCCGGCAAAAAGAAAAAAGAAAAAGAAAGAAAGAAGAAAGCACGACAAAGGAGCCGAAAAAATAGAAAGGTTCATGTGTGAGTATTACTCGTTTCGATTGAGTGTCTCGCCATGTTGTATGGGATAACAAACTTTTACTAGTGTAGTGTGTTTGATATCATTGAATACGTGGCCTTTTTTATTTATTAAATGAACCAAACTGTTAATATATCTTTATGACATAAAAAATAACGTTTCAGATTCAAAAAGATTTTGCTAGCAATGTTAACTTCAGCAAGGTCACGGGGATGATTGGCACAACACACTTTTACGATTCTTCGTCTTTCACTGTACTATAAAGTGAATGCGTATAAATTGGCGCAACAGGTTCTTTTGATTCCTCTTGTTTCACAGAACTAGGGGATGAATAAATGTTTGTTTTGCATAAACTGAAGTGTCAGATTTATGATCTGTTTCCTAGCAGAAAGAACTTTTAGAATATTGGCGCGAAAACATCTTCCAATTCTGAGTGTTTCACTGTACTCGAAAACGAGCATATCTTTATGTCATGCAATATAAAATATGAAAAACACAAAGAATCATAATCTTTTGCTATCAAGATGAACAGTTTCAGTTAGTAGATTGGCGCGACATGATCTTACAATTTCTCGAGTTTCGAAGTAGTAGAAGTTGTTTATATATCTATAACTTGTTAGATCCCCCCCCAACGTTTCATTTTTTTTTTTTTTTTGGTGAGTCAGATGGACATAAGCGGTTGTCTCTCATTATATATTTTATACATAACGATACATAACGATTTACATAACGATATTTTATACATAACGATACATCTCTGCCAGCAAACGCAGACGGAAATATACGTGTGTGTGTGTTGTGGGTGTGTTTGTCCATGCATGCTTGGGTGTATTTTGGCGTACATCCGAGCGATTATTATTTTTTTTTATTTTATTAACGTTTCTGCCCAAAGCCTGCATAGATATACAGAAAGATGGAAAGGTCATTAAGTAAAGCGGATTCGCGAAAAACCGGATGTTTTTATTTGACAAAAAAAGAAAAAAAAATGCACTTTTGCTCGTGTTGGACACTTATCAGATGTCGCTTAGCAAAATGGAGCCTGAACCAAAGCATGTTTGTGTGATTAAGTCGCTCACAGTACTCGTTCATTTCTTTTTTTTTTTTTTCATTTTTTTTTTTTGTTCGCCACCCCGTCATCTGCCTGTACGCCGTGGCAATATAGTCATTGTTATTTTTCCTCTGGGAAAAAAGAAACATGGATGTTTCATAACAAAAATCACTTTAAAAGCGAGCCGCAAGGAGACCAGACTCCGGTAGAAAGAAACCTAACGTCATTATCATGGCTACCATTGATAACAAAATTGGGTTCCTTTCTACAATTATACATTTCTTTAAAGAATTCCTTTGAATTGTTCAAGCTATTCTACTGTTTTGATCCATGGAAAGCGAAAGAATTAATAAATCAAATCATTATTCCAACAGAAACTGAATAATCTATTCTACAGGTTGCAGCAGAAATACCTCCCATACATACCTCCCACATAATGGTAAGTCATTAGCTAGATGAAAACACCATTGCTACTAATGTCTTTTTTTAAAAATATATTTTTTAAGCGTTTCACCCCAAGCAAGGCGGGAAGCCACTAGGACGCAAGGGGTTACAGAAAATTTGAAGCAAGATCAGATAAGAGTGATAGAAGAAAGGATGAGGAGAAGGGTAGTGGATAGATCAAGGCAACTGGAGATGCCGATTCACATTACATTTGAATACCTGGTGATTATAGCTCTCAGGGAAACATGAATAGGGAAGGGAGTTCCACAGGCGAGAGGTTCGAGACATGAAGCTATTGGAGTAGAAGAGACGGCTACATTTAGGAGTTTCGACAGTGAAGGTGTGAGAGCGGGATGCCAGCCTCGTAGGGCGCTTGAACTCATGAAGTCTGGGAACCAGCGAATGCAGCTCCTCGGAGCAATTGCCATGAAAGTATTTGTAAAACAGACAGAGAGAGGCGACGGCACGTCTGTAAGAAAGTGACTGTAGACGAGATGCCAGAGCAGGGCCAATTATATTGCATATCCGCCTCTGGAGCCTATCAAGAACCCCGAGGCAAACAGAAGGGGCTCCAGACCATATATGGCAGCAATACTCCATGCAAGGGCGAATTGTTGCATTATGTGGACGGTATGTCTGGGAAGTAGATGAGGGAGATATTTCTGCCGCACCCTATAAATGTAAGCATAGACAGAAAATAGTATGAGAGAAAATGATGTATCATTGTTATAATGTACAATGTTAGAACAATTAATAAGGAAGTGGAAAACATTTTTCGTATGATGCGTTTTGTCCTATACGACTTGTTTACGTTGATGAAACTACGCATGCGCACGAAGAGGAGGGGTCGCTAAAATTTGAAACATTTAAATTTATTTATTTTTAAAAATATAGATAGCCTAGATAATTTCATTTAGTTTCTTTTCCTTTCTTTTTTCAAACTAGTAAAACCAATTGTACTACTAACCTGCAGTATTTAGTATTATTATTGCTAACATTTTTGTCGAGATTTACAAACTACGTTTCGTTCAATTTAGCAAACCAATCGATGAAATTTGAATAAGCTGATTTGCTTGGAAAGATATTTTGACAAAAACGCTATTCCCGGTGCAATAATTTCTTTAATTCAATTTAATTTTATAAGACTTCATAATAAACATTTTTTAAAGAAAATTTCTTTTTTTTCTCTTTTTAACAGAGAAGAATAAATTCTCAGCATTTTTTACTCTTGAGCATGCAACATACAACTGGCCATGCGTAAATATTTCTTTCTGGAGTCAAACTCTGATTGTCTGAAGCGTTTGGCCTTGTGATTTGTTTATAGTTTTCGCAAACGCAAGGCGAACTGGAAACTGGATTCTTGTATATATAAAAACATAAAGAAAAGAGATGCAAAAAAGAATATTGCATTTTTACTAAATAAGTATTTGTTACTCCCACTATTTTAAAAACAATTTAATGATTAAAAAAATCATTAAATTGTTTGTAAAATAGTGGGAGTATTTTGTATGTTAAATAATAAAATTTTTAATTGTTTCCCCCCTAAAATTAAATGAAAATTTATTATACTAAGCTGCGCATCGTAGTAAAACCAATTGTACTTTGTATCTCCCCTTATTTCTTTGCACTTTTCCCTAAACCAAGTAAATATAAAACAATATTCAAATATATCCGAATC